TTGGACTATTGAATAAAATTCTTTGACGTAGGTTGAATACTTTTTGACGTGTCCCATTAAGCTTCTCACTGAAGAAAGCAACGGGATGTTTTGCCTAACTCAGGACCATGCTGATACCAACATTGGAAGCATCACATTCCACTTCAAATATCTTTCTAAAATCAAGAAGTATCAATACCGAGGTTGTTGTCATCCTTTTTTTCAACATTTCAAAACTGTCTTGAGCACTTCTAGTCCATATAAACGGTTCAGTTTTCAAGATTTCCATTAGCAAAGTTGCTATTGAACTGAAATTTTGGATGAACCTCCGATAGAAAGATGCTAGCCCATGGAATCTCCAAATTTTGGTGAATGATTATGATGTTGGCGAATTCGCAATTGCTTCAATCTTCCTTGGACCTGCTTCAATTCCTTTGGCAGATACCATAAAGCCAAGTAATTCTATTTTTTTTATCCAGAAAACAACTTTTTTTTTGGGTGGGCAAACAATTTTTGCTCCCCGAGTAATTGCAACACCTGGCATAGATGCTGTTAATGATCATTCACAGTTGCACTATAAATCAATATGTCATCGAAGTGGATGGCTACGAACTTGCACAAGAAAGGTTGAAACACATGATTCATATATCGCATAAAAGTGCTCAGAGCATTGGATAGCCCAAATGGCATTACAGTTCACTAATATAATACGTCCCAAATTTTGAAAGCAGTCTTCCATTCGTCTCTAGACCACACCCTAATTTGGTGGTACCCGCTTCGCAGATCAATTTTTGAAAAAACTTTAGCTCCATGCAGCTGATCAAAAAGATCATCTATGCGAGGAAGTGAAAATAAAAAACAAACAATGATCTTATTGATCACTCTACTGTTAATGCACATTCGATATGAGCCATCCTTCTTTGGAACTAATAATGTTGGAACTGCGCATGCGCTTACACTGGGCCTAATGAAACCCTTAGATAATAACTCATCTAGTTTTTTGTGTATTTGTTTATGCTCGTCCAGTAGGAGTTGATAAGAAGGCCTGTTTGAAAGAACAACCCCTAGCTAGCTGCAGCTCAATTTCATGTTGCACCGCACATAACGGGGGTAGACCGGTTGGAATTTCCTTGGGAAACACATCACATAATTCTTCTATTAGTTTAAAGACTTGAGGAGAGAAATTAACATGTGAACTTTGTACTTCCTTCAGTAGTAATAAGTAGACCAGGGACGTTTCCTGCATGGCCTTACGACACTGGGAATAATTTAGCAATAGCTCTTTCGAAGTCGTCCTTTTGGATTCCCCTTCTAATGGCATTAATATAATTGGAACACCACCATATGTGAAGGCATATGTGTTATTTGTGCTGAAATTCCCATTATTATGGCATTACAGTCCACTACTATAATATGTCACAAATTTTGAAGGCAGTCTTCCATTCTTCTCCAGACTACACCCGAATTTGGTGGTACCCACTTCATAGATCAAAATTTGAAAAAACTTTGGCGCCATGCAACTGATCAAAAAGATCATCTATACGAGGAAATGGAAATTGATAACAAATAATGATCTTATTGATCGCTCTACGATCAATGCACATTCTATATGAGCCATCCTTCTTTGGAATTAATAATGTCGGAACTGCGCATGTGCTTACACTGGCCCTAACGAAACCCTTAGATAATAACTCCTCCAACTGTTTATGTATTTGTTCATGCTCGTCCAGCTGGAGTCAATAAGAAGGCCTGTTCGAAAGAACAGCTCCTGGAAGCAGCTCAATTTCATGTTGCGCCTCACATAATGGGGGCATACCGACTGGAATTTCCTTGGGAAACACATCACATAATTCTTCTATTAGTTTCACGACTTGAGGAGAGCAATTAATATGTGAACTTTGTACTTCCTTCAATAGTAATAAGTAGATCAGGGATGTTTTCTGCATGTCCTTATGGTAGTGGGAATAGTTTAGCAATAGCTCTTTTGAAGCCATCCTTTAAGATTCTCCTTCTAATGGCATTAACATAATTGGAACACCATCATATGTGAAGGCATGTGTGTTATTTGTTCCGTCATGGGTAGTTTGTCAATCATACTTCCATGGCCTCCTTAATAGCCAATGTCAGACATCCATAGGTACCACGTCACACCAAACTTGATCGTGGTAATGCCCGATAGAGAAATTTACCAAACATCATTTAGATACTTTGACCACACTTCCCTTTTGGATCCATGACAATTTATAAGGCTCAGGATGTTCTTCAATTTTTAACTTTAGTTTATCAACCATTAGGCTTGAAACAACATTCTCGTAACTTCCACTGTCGATAATCATCTGACAAACTTTACTCTGAACCGTTCACCTTGTTCTGAAAAGATTGTGTCATTGGGTGAATCTTCCTTCTGTGTACTCGATAAATGTCTAAGGACTAACAAAGGTCTGTCGTCTACCGGAATAATGGTTGGGGTTAGAGAAATTCTGCTTCCTTGGCAAATTACTTATTTCATGGTTTTTATCATCTACCTCTAGTTCTGCATCTTCCAAAAGGGTGTCACACGTTGATTTGGACAATTTGACACAATGTACCCAAACCTGTGGCACTTGAAGCATTTCCTGGTTGGATAACTCGAGTCATTGGGTAGTTTATTGATTTTTTGACTAGACTGCGGTCTTGATGGTGTTGCGGGAATGGGCTTCGTTCTTGACTCCAACTCGTTCTTTGCTCTCTTCTTTATTAACCAATGGATTCTGCCATTTCTTGGAATGATTCTGTTGCTTCTCCACCTTAAGAGCTAAATTAATGACATCTTGGAAGGTCCAATATGTCTGTAGTTGCACCACCTGACTAATGGCGGGTTGGAGACCCTCCAAAAATCTTGCAATGGTATTCTCCATTGGCTCTACCAAGTCGCATTTGAGCGACAAACTCAAATTCTACGACATACTCTTCTGCTGGCATGTGATTTTGTTGTATTCGGTGCAACTTCAACAACAAATTCTGTTTGTATTGATCCGACAACTATTTTCTTTAAAGTTTTTTCTTCATTTTGGTCAACCTCACGATCTTGCTATGATCTTCCTGAAGTTTTGCTTGCTTCAAGTTCTCTCGCCATAAGGAAGCATTCTTTTTTAATTTGATGGCTACAAGCTTAACTATGCGATCAGGTTTTAACTCCTTAAATTCCAATATCCTTTCAATAGTATGAATCCAATTTAGGAATTCATTAGGATTGAGCCTTCCATCAAAGTCAGGTAATTCAACCTTGATTCTGCCATCATCATGATAGGACTTCTTGCACATTCGCGGGGTCTTTGCGCCCTAGATTCTTCACTAGATGAAGTATGGTAGAATGGATTTACCTCTTCTCCTTTATCTTGATGCTCGGTCGCTTCACGTAGTTTGAATCACTCCAACCTCTATTGCAATATCTGAATCTCTCTTTGCAGATCTTCTATGACAACCTCATGTATTAGCCACTGCAGAATTCGATGCAGAGGCATTTTCTGGCTTCTTTGATACCAACTGATTCCAGATACGTATCACAGCTGGCTCAAAACTTACCCACCATCGGAAATTGCTCTTGGATATAGAACAAAGTTCTTGAACTCCAAAATAACCTTTATGGCTTTTATTATAAAATGGTAAAAAACTACTCAAATGAGTCCAATACAGAACCTATATAGGCAAGCAAAGCTACAAGAAAGAAAAGAATAAACCCTTGCTATACAAGAGCCATTTACAAAATTATCAAATAACAGAATAAAGTATGAGTTGGCTTCGTCTTTAGCTTCGACGCTTTTATGGATTTCAGCTCTTGCGTCAATAATAAGAGTTGATCTACTTAAAAGATTGTAAAGAGGAGTGCAAATGTTAAGATATGGCTGATGGTTGGACTAATAATAAAAGCAGAACTCTCATAAACTTTCTTGTTTACAGTCTGAGCTGTATATTTTTTAAAATCAATTGATGCATCTGTTGTGAAATCTCTTAAGTAAAAAGAAACTAAACTCTTAAACATTGACGAGCCTTTTGGTGTAATAGCTGAAATTTTTGTGAGAAACTCTGCAGTTAAGTGTGCTCATCCCAGAGTAATTTCGGGATGGATGACTTACTGGAAGTTACACTAACATGATAAACACTACAGGAAAATCACTTATTACCGGCGGAATTTTCCGGCGGCTTTCCGGCGGTCAAATTTCCGGCGGCTTTCCGGCGGCGTTCCGGCGGTTTTTGACGGCTTAAAATTTCCGGCGGCTTTCCGGCGGTTTTCCGGCGGCTAATTTCCCCGCGAAATTTTGCGACGGCTAATTTCCCGCAAAATTATCCCGCGGAATTTTCCGGCGGCTTTCCGGCGGGAGCGGGCTCGTTGGCGCACTCGGGCTCGCCTGGCTCACGCGAGCGCGGTCCGACGCGGTCTGGTCCGGCGCGACTCAAAGCCTGGCGCGACCGCCCGCCGGAGCGGGTTGCTGGCGTGCCGCCGGAGCCGCCGGGGAGCGGTTTCAGCGGGAGCGGCCGGTTCTGTTTTTTTTTTTTTTTAATTTCCCCCGGCGGTTTTTGACCGCCGGCAAACCGCCGGATTTTTTTTGCCGCCGGAAAACCGCCGGAAAATTAAAAAACCGCCGGAAATTGCTCAAATTCCGCCGGAAAAAGCCGCCGGAAGTGGGTGATTTTCCTGTAGTGAAAATCATGAGACTATTAGGCCAAAACGGACAATAATTCGATAGTTAAGAGTTTAGTTTCTTTTTATTTAAGGGGTTTCATAATCTTCCCCACTTAAGTGACTGACGTCCTGATCAGCATTTTTATCCCATAATCATCCAACAACTAGATAGGATTCTAGAGTTGAACCCTACAAGTTCAAGCCGTGGCTCCTGTCATGTAGCACTTTGTCCGATACGTACATGATTTAAGAGGTGGCTCCAATGGCGTAGCACTTTGTATTGTATGTATGATTAAATTTGTCCTTTCTACATGAGTTCTATCCCAATAAAAAAATAAAAACAAAATAAAAAATGCTATATATTAAACAGATTTTTATTTCTACTTAAAAAACAAAAACAAAAACAAAGCGGCCCCAACAATTCTTTGGATAATATTGAAGAAAACCGGCAGATGAATTCCTCAATCACCATTCCATAATTCTTTAGTAAAGGCGATTATATTCTCCACTGAATCAGATGCCTCGGAAAGTTCATTCAGTCTCTACTTCCTGGGTGGATAGCCTCCAATGAAGTGCAGTGTTTCTGCTTTCAAAAAGTGATCAGAAAATTTTTTTAAGAAGCCCTAAGAAAACTGTCCCAAATGAAACCTCACAGTTAAACCATTTGAATCAAACACCTCCGAATACAACCTGTTTGAGAACTTTGTGTTAGATCGAGAAGCCTATTTAGCAAAACCTAGTTTTTTTCTCTTCATAAAAATATAATAATCCTAACGCTCGGTGTGCTGAATTGCCTTTATCAGTGAGGGCAAGAGAATCTCTGATTGTTAACCTGCAAAGAGGAATATTGTATTATTCTGATGATAATGAAGTTTTACAAAGCATGAAAGGAAAGCAATAAAGAAAAGCAAAGAGAACTTACATGCTCTTTTCAGAAAGGAAAGGAAGACTACCAGAAGAGCTAACCCAGCCAATATGCCCACTATTATGGCCACTGTCCTTCCTATGTCGTCATCAGTGTAATCTGTTCATAATCAAATTATAACAGCAAGCACTTAGATTTAAAGAAGCATTTCGATCGTATCTACTTTCTGCTCTCTCATGTCTATCCTCTCAGCATAATACCAGCTAATTATATTCTGAAGAAAAGGGTTCTTTTTTATCAGAATAAAGAATTTTAGATTTTAGTTGGATTTGAAATGCCGGAAGGAATGGATGTTCTGTATCAAAGAATTATTCGAATATCTTAAACCATATCTTGTTAATATTTTTAATATGAATATGCATGGCTATGGGAATAGAAATATTTCTCAACTAATAAGGTTTTAGTACAAAATTTTTTGTTCAAGAATTTTTGTACTATAAAAAATTATTTAAAAAAACAGTAAGAATAAAAAAAAATGAAATATAATATAAAAGAAATATAATGCATTTAAATTTTTTTGAGCTGTTAATAAATGTGTAAAATAAATAAATGTGATTATTATTATTTCATGAATTAAAATGAATGTAGTGTAATATTTCAAAATAATGATAGTGAATAACTAGGGGGCAGGTGATAGCTAGATGCGGCAATTTTGATGATTATCTAATAATGATTGTTGGTGCCATTAAATTATTTATTGAATCATGCATTTAAATATATTAATTTTTATTTCACTTCTTCTATTGAGAAATATAAAATTATTATATTTAATAAGACTATTTTATAGAATTTATTATCGTTTTGATTTCTTACTCAACCCAAACTAAATAATAAATATTGCAAATTTCACTGCTATTCATAACAAGTTTTTTTCACTACAAGCAATTATATTATTCAAAAATAATAGAAATAATGCACGAAATATGGCAATTATTTCTTTATTTTAAATATGCACTAAAATATATATTAAAATTAAGTGAAAAAAAAATCCAATTTTTTTTTTTTTTGGGAAAATTTTGGGAATCCAAACAAATTTATTTAATGGGGAAGAAGACGACAAACCTGCGGCCGCAGCGGCGCGGGGATAGTACCCCGACGCCCAGAAGCGAGCGTAGCACTTGCTGAGAAACACATCTGCAGCAAGCGACGCGCCACACGTGTTCCTAAGCTGTTCCACAGCCTGCGCCAGGCAAGTTGCACAATCCGCCGGACTCAAATCCCCCACGCACTGCGCATAGCCCTGCACCGTCCCCGAACTACTCACCCTCGACCCCTCCCCGCTCACCAATTCATTCAGCACGTCGTCCCTCCGCCGGAAGAACTCCCCTCCGTCCCCTCCGCTCACCTCCCTGCCGCACTTCTTGTACGCCACCGCCGTCTCCAACCTCCCCAGAAAATCCTCGTTGCTGTACCGCACTAGACAACCATCGAGCTGCAGCGCCGCCGCGTAGGCGTCGGGGCACACGAGCCCCACTTGACCCACCGCGCTCCGGACGCATGACGAGCACTCGCCGGTGCTCAGGTCATTGCGGCACTGGTAGAGGCCGTAGGCGGCGGAGCCTTGTGGGGAGGAGGAAGAGTTTCCGGAGGCGAAGCTGTTGTAGGCGGAGTCAGAGGCGGAGTTGGCAAGGGAGGTGAGGAGGGAGTCGAGGTTGGTTTGGAAGGGGGTGTTGGGAGGGTAGCGGGAAGGGAAGCAGGCGGCGTAGATGAAGCTGTTGGTGGCTCTGACGCTGGGGGTTACGAGGGAGAGCAGGGCGGCGAGGGAGAGGAAGCGTTGGAAATTCTTGAAGGAGAGCATGATAGCAATGTTCTGAAACGTTGTGAATTGGGTTTCTGCTATGGTGGGCTTTAATGAGATGATAGGAAGCCTTTATTTCATTGTTATGGTATTCTTAATTATATGAACCTAAATTCTTAATTATGAGGGTTTTAACCGTTGCTCAATCTTAATCAGGGTTAAAACTACAGCAATCAACAGATACATTTTGAACCCGATAGAACCTCCTCTCAAATTATTATCTGATAGTAAAATATTTTTATTTTTATAAACTTCTTTTATTAACTAGTTTATTGATTTTGAAGAAATTATCACACATAATATCTAATTTATAATTTTTGTTTCTTTTTTTACATTGCATCTTCTCGTTTTGTAATGGGGGTTTTTAAAAGTAAAGAGAAATATATCTCACTAATATGCATATTTTCTGTCTTTCTAACAATTTTTTTTTCTTAAATGTATAAATATTTTAGTTTTTTTAGGAAATATATGACTTTTGTTTTTATTTTTTATTTTTTATACATTTTATTTTTTTAGAGGTTTATAGAAAATTTAAGGACTTTTTCATGTAAAATGTTTTTTTTTTGTTTACTTATAATTTTTTTCTTATGACGTTATAATTTTTTTTTATCATGTTTAGATGGCATTTTATTTTTTATGGTACGATAAGACTTCTAAAGTATAGTATTCACAACAATTTTGAACAATTTTAAAACTACTATAAATTTTTTTGCAAAGATTAAAATGATGCTAAAGACTTTTAAAACTACTGCATGAAAAAGCCTTTTTCAGAAGTGTTATAAGAAGCAAGATAAAGAAAAAAAAAGAAAAGAAATATGAGTGATGCTGTGGGGCACAAGAAATTAGAAGAAGAGAGGCATCTATAGATGTTCCATAAGTTGAAGCCCCATTATTCAAGGGAGTTATAGAGCCATAAGCAGTAGATGATTAGTTATTGAGTATAAAAAAGATATTTGAAAGTATGTAATGCTTGGACAATCAAAAAGTACCACTTGTAGTATTCTTATTTGAAGGAAAAGTTGAGAGATGGTGGATTAGACCATAGAGATAAAAATTCCAAGGAAAGAAGAATGCAGAGATCACTTGGATAGAGTTTGTTGAAATTTTCAGATACTAGTTTGTACCTATGTCATCCTGAAAACAAATGCATGAGGTTTTCATGAGATTGGAGCAGAGGAACATAATGATGATGCTGTATAAGACAGAGTTTATTGCACTGGCTAGGTATACACCTCAACTGGTTAGTATTACTGATGAAAAATGCTATAGGTTTCTGAGAGGATTGAATGATGAATTGAGACATCCACTTTTGCCATTGAAGACTCAGGAGTTTTCAGAGCTTGTTGAGAGAGGAAGATTGGTGGAGAAAGATTTGTTATTCCACTATTCAAACATGATATTAGTATGAAGAGATCATGAGATGCCATAACTGAGAGGGAGATCTAGCAATAAAATGAGAGGTAGATTTTCAGATAACATGAGAGGATCTACATCTAAGTCCAATGTGGGTGTACTGGAGTGTGCCCGATGTGGTAAGAGACATTGTGGGCTGTGCTTTCTGATGACTGGATAGTTTTTCTAGATGTGGGTAGCGAGGACACTAAATGGCTGATTGTACACTACAGTGGTATGGGACAGGATCAAGATTTAGAGGAGAAAAGGCCAGATAAAGCTATAAATAGGGAATCGTGAGATCTAGAGAATATAGTGAAGGGTTTGTAAGCAGGATAGATGGGAGAATGGTAATTAAAAGTTAAAGAGGATCTGTAAAGTTTGCTACACCAAGATTGTTACCTATACGACTAAGAATTTATAATTTAATCTTGCAAGAGGATAAGAATGCACCTGAAGGATCCAATGGTAAAAATTTTCAACCTTGAATTGATTTATAAATAATTTGCATAATATATGAGAGTACGATTGTTTTGAATGAACTCATGATTCATTGCGTGCATTATTTGGAGATTTTAAATTGATTTCAATTGATTTATTGGTTTTAATATTTGATTTTGAATCATATTTATTTATTTTGACAAATTTACAAATTAAATTTATCTTTATTGATCTATTTTATCTGTAAAAATATTGAGGGTGATATTTTTCTAAAGTGGAGAGATTTTAATAGCTTGTATTTTGATCCAAGCAAATAATTTAAAAAAATATCATTTTAATCATATTTTAAAATCGCCTTCTCCATAACATTTATATTGTAGTATTTTAATTGCATTAATTTTTTTTTGTAATTTTTTAGTACTAGTGAAAATTCTTAATAAATAGATACATGTTGGTACAAATAAGAATTTTTAGACCGTTTGGTATCCATTTTAAAAATCGGTTTCACCATAGTCTTTTAAATAAAATGTGTTATTTTATAAATATTTTCTACAATTTAAAGTCCCAAATAGATTTATATGATTTTTTTAATTAAAATTTAAATAAAGCAAGTAATTATATTAATATATTATTATGATTTTTTATAAAATAACTTAAAGCATTAAGACTTTATATAATCCCTTTCCTTCCTCTTCATTTTGCCTAAATAGAGAATGGGCTAGGGAGAATTAGAGCGAAATTGACGAGAGCGAAAAATAAAGCTAGGGTTTAAAGCTCATGGTGAATTTTTCGTCAGTCAAGCCAGTTAGGAAATTTGCTAGTCTCTGTGCAAGAAATCATTACCCTATTTTTGATTTTACTACAGGAAAACACGGTATTACCGGTAGACAATATCCGCCGGTAACACGTAAAATCCGACGGAAGGCCTTGGTTTCCGGCACATTTCCGTCGGATTTTGATACGCTAGTTTGGTGCGCGTCAGAAAATGTCTTCCGACATTTATAAGATACCAGAAACCTTTCTTGCACGCTCTCCGACGCATTACCGGCGCAAAATATGTTACCCAAAACGTCATTTCCTAAACGATTATTCTGGCGATATATACGTCGGAATTTTATGACATATATATCCGACGGCAAATACCAGTGGATAAAACGTCGTAGATTCACTGTAACTAAAGCTAATGTTTGTTTCCGGCGCTATTGATACGCCGGAAAACGCCGACGGATAAGACGTCATAAGGTGCGCCGTAAATAAAGCTACGACTTGCTTTCGGCGCATGTACCTACCGTGTGTTTTAACACAAGTAAAAGCTAAAAGTCATAGGTGATTCAATGCAAGGAAGTCATTAAGGTGATTGTAGAAAATTATGATCAATTTGTATCCTATCTCAAAGGGTCAAGCCACTCATCCACCTAAGAATCTCATCTCTGCAACACTTAACTTAGTATTATTCTTCTCTTTTTATGGCCAACATTCGGCACATTAAAGCATTGCAAGTCTCACCACCATCTTATAGAATTTTCACTTATGTTTGAGGGGGACTTTTCTATCACACAATAAGCCTGATGCATTACTCCATATATTTAGTTTTAGATCTACTCAAGCGAAAACCTTTAGACTCTAAAGTTGACTTCCATAATTCAAGTTTACCTTAAATTCCCTCTCTAATCTTATCAACAAGAAGAATATCATTAGCAAAAAGAATACATAAAGGTACATCCTCTTGCAAATCCCTATTGAGAATTTCCATGACTAAAGCAAAAAGATATGGACTTGAGGCAGATCCTTGATGTAATCCAGACAAATAGGAAAATACTTGGTCTAACCACCTTGTGTTTGAACACAAGTAATAGCTTATGCATATATATCTCTAATGTTTTGAATACAAACATTATTAACTCTTTTTTTTCAAGAACTTTTCATAGCACTTCTCTTGAAACTTTATCACATGCTTTCTCTAAATCAATAAATATAAAATGCAGTTCCTTCTTGTTCTCTCTATATTTCTCCATCATACCTCTCAATAAATGTATTACTTCCATAGTAGACCTACCCGGCATGAATCCAAATTGATTTTGAAATGTTTAGAAACAAAAAAACATTGAATATAAGCGTTATTAACTTTTTTTTTTGCAAGAACTTTCAATAGCACTCCTCTTGAAACTTTATCATATGCTTTCTCTAAATCAACAAAAATCATATATAGATCCTCCTTACTCTCTCTATATTTCTCCATCAAACCTCTCAAAAAATGTATGGCTTCCATAATAGACCTATCCGGCATGAATCCAAATTGATTTTGAAAAAATTTTCAACATAAAAACATCTACAATATGCATCCAATATCAAATGTCTAAAAAGAAATTACATGAATAAAAAAAACTTACAATCGGCGGGAGGGAGGCGACTTTCAATCGATGGGAGGCGAAAACTCACGATCAGAAATAGAGCTTTCGCCGGCGACGAAGGCGGTGATCGTCGGCGACGTCCGGTGAACGTCAACACAGCTCGGCGACGTCGATCTATGGTGAGGGACGCTAGGCAACGAGGGAGACACTGGAGATCCGAGAGAAATGAGTGAATGAAATGAGCAGCCAGACGGGCTCGGGTTCGGAAATAGGGCTTTTGCCGGCATATTTTCTGGCGTCCGAGACGCCGGAATGTTATCCGACGCATTTTGCACTGGTTACAAGTCGGTAAGTTTAAAATAGCAGTCGTATTTTCCATCGGTAAGTGCATCGGACATTTTCCATCGTAAAGTGCACTGGTACCAATGAAATGCTGGTATATTCCGACGTTAATACCGGCACATTGGATGTCGGAAATTTTTTGTCGCACTATGCACCGGAAAAAACGCCGTCATAATTCCTTTGCATTATGCGCCGGTAGAAACGCCGTATTTACCAACGTAAAATCTTCCGCCGAAAAGTCCGACAGTATTTGCGTGTTTTCCCGTAGTGTTTCAATAATTTTTTATTTTTGATATTTTTCTAATCAATTTTATGTTTTTATTTTAAAAAAATGACGATAAGTTTGTATTGTTAAAGCTTTTACTGTATAATTTTTGTATGTGATTGATCTCATCAATATGAATATTTGGACTGTAATATATTGAATATTTATTGGTTAAATTTAAATATACGTTTATTTAAAAAAATGCCTAGTATGAAAATTTGGTAGATTTTCATGTATTTATATATTTTTGTATTTCATATATGATATTGACTCA